TCTCTCTCTCTCTCTCTCTCTCTTTCTCTCCCTCTGTGTGTCTCTTTGTATATTTGATTCATACTTTGAGTAAAGAGAAACACATCCGCACAGAAAACGGTTGCTGCAAGATGTCTTCTAAAAGTCAGTGATACGCAATTGCGCCATAATCAATCCTTGTCTTCGCTCCTTTCATTTAGAAGAACAATGCGGTGACGCATTAACTAGATCTAAATGAAACGAAGACAATAATAAACGAGTTGGAAAGCTTCTAGAATTATAATACGTGACGTACATGTGAATGTGACGACTTTTGGATGAAGATCTGTCACAAAGCAGACATAGTACGATAATGTCAATGACAGTTTCATTATAATGATCATTACTTCTTTGTTCTTGTAGGAGTTAAATGCACTACAACAGCCTACAGCTTTAAAAATGTTAAGTGGTACTGTATAGCTTTGATGCCAGAAACAACTGAGGGAGAGAAACAAAGTAAGAGCTACCACCAGCCCCTCCATGGCAACCACGAGTCTCCCCGATAGATCCAAGAATCAAACTCGCAACATTTAAAAACAAGTTCAACACCTCACAGCTCGACCACAACATTTCAGACATATCGCTTCGAAGGCAGATTCAAGTATTTTACCCAGTGCAAACTGTCAATCAGATTCATCGAACTGAGTCAATGCCAGACTTTTTTTTTCGTGGAGGGGGCAAAAGATACCAATTTGGCACCGTATGACCGATTCGACTCGCAACCTTGAAAAATAATCGTGTTTGAGGGTCACAGGCCAATTCAGAATTAAATTCGTGGGCTCTAGTGGCCTAGAGGTTAAGGTGTTGGTCTCTCATTCAAAAGTCCCGGGTTCGAATCCGGGAAGCGACCGAAAAATTTTCTTCTCTAAAATTGTCTCCTTTCACCTCCTTTTTTGCTCTCTAGCAATGTTCTGTTGTCTGCTTTCGTTTCCACTTTCTGCCCCCACCCCCTCACCTCCTTTGCCCCCTCCTCTGGGCTCTTAGCTCTTTCTGCAGCTTTTCTACTGCTCCTTGGCTCCTCCAAACTACTGTCTTTCTGCCAGACCCCTGATCTTCTGGTAGGAAAGATCTACACCTAGCCTTCTCGGA